AAAAAAATTTCATGTTCTTGGCTTTTTCAACTTTTTCTGATGCAATACAAAAGTTATTTCCCAGCACAGACATGTGCTAATATATAATGAAAATTAGCACAAGTAAGTTCTAGGTAATAAAACTATTCTTCCTCATTTTCTTGGCTTTTCAACTTTTTCTGCTGCAATACAATAGTTATTTCCCAGCACAGACATGTGCTAATATAGAATGAAAATTAGCACAAGTAAGTTCTAGGTAATAAAACTATTCTTCCTCATTTTCTTGGCTTTTCAACTTTTTCTGATGCAATACAATAGTTATTTCCCAGCACAGACATGTGCTAATATAGAATGAAAATTAGCACAAGTAAGTTCTAGGTAATAAAACTATTCTTCCTCATTTTCTTGGCTTTTGAACTTTTTCTGCTGCAATACAATAGTTATTTCCCAGCACAGACATGTGCTAATATAGAATGAAAATTAGCACAAGTAAGTTCTAGGTAATAAAACTATTCTTCCTTATTTTCTTTGCTTTTCAACTTTTTCTGATGAAATAAAATAGTTATTTCCCAGCACAGACATGTGCTAATATATAATAGAAATTAGCACAAGTAAGTTCTAGGAAATAAAACTATTCTTCCTAATTTTCTTGGCTTTTCAACTTTTTCTGCTGCAATACAATAGTTATTTCCCAGCACAGACATGTGCTAATATAGAATGAAAATTAGCACAAGTAAGTTCTAGGTAATAAAACTATTCTTCCTCATTTTCTTGGCTTTTGAACTTTTTCTGCTGCAAAACAATAGTTATTTCCCAGCACAGACATGTGCTAATATAGAATGAAAATTAGCACAAGTAAGTTCTAGGTAATAAAACTATTCTTCCTCATTTTCTTGGCTTTTGAACTTTTCTGCTGCAATACAATAGTTATTTCCCAGCACAGACATGTGCTAATATATAAAGTAAATTAGCACAAGTAAGTTCTAGGTAATAAAACTATTCTTCCTCATTTTCTTGGCTTTTGAACTTTTTCTGATGAAATAAAATAGTTATTTCCCAGCACAGACATGTGCTAATATATTATGAAAATTAGCACAAGTAAGTTCTAGGTAATAAAACTATTCTTCCTCATTTTCTTGGCTTTTCAACTTTTTTTGATGCAAAACAATAGTTATTTCCCAGCACAGACATGTGCTAATATATAATGAAAATTAGCACAAGTAAGTTCTAGGGAAAAAAACTATTCTTTCTCATTTTCTTGGCTTTTCACCTTTTTTTGCTGCAAGAGAAGTTATTTTCCTCCACTGATAAGTAATAGAATTGGGCATGTTAATTTTATTCATTAAGAACATTCATTTTTTTTGGTCTGATGTTAATCTTTTTTCAGCTACAAAACTAAAGTTAAATATTAAAATTGTACATATTCAGCAGAATAACTGGTAAAAATAAATAAATTTTTCTATAACCTTTGACTCCTTCTGTTGTTTCAAGTTTGTAACACCAGCGATTTTCCAGAAGCATTTTTCCTGTTTTGGCTCTATATGACCTACACTATGTTTGTGCGCAGTAAAATTAAACAATCTAAAATCTAAGAACTTTGCATTAAAATTTTGTGTTTTTGAATATTTCTCAATTTCCTTAACATAAAATCTTGTGTTAAAAGTTTTTAAAATAAACAAATTTGTTGAAATGTTATATTATCTTATTTCATTGTGTATTTTTAGCAAAAAAAGAAGAGTACCTTTTATTGGACCCTGTTGTTGGTAATTGAAGATTGTTTGATGTTATGATGTATGAAATCAAATTTCTGGTCATTTTATAGTAAATTTAACTTCCTAATTGATTTTTGCTAAATTTTACTCCAATTTCTCATTAATTTAATTAATTATCTAAATGTCATTTTAACTTCCTCTTACTGCTCTCTCATTAATTTAGCCAATTAATTTTCCAATTAATTAGATGATTAATTGCTTCTCTATAAGAAATGTGTACTCCTTGTATCTCATTAATTAGACCAATTATCAGTTGGTCATTTTAACTTCCTTAATTACTGTTCTCTAATTAATTAAACCAATTATCTACTTTGTATTCTTAACTTCCTAAAGTGGTGTTAGTTTTAATTGTTGAGTAATTAATTGAGTTATTACCTGAGCGAGTTAATTGTTGAGTTATTGATGGTCAATTTTTTTATATCTTTTTTTGTCAGTTTCCATTTTTTATTGCCTGAAATATTATAGAATGTTTATAGCAAATAAAAAATACAAACAAATTGGAATTATTGATGTTTAAAAAATAAATTTGGAAAAATGAATTAATTATAATGAAGAAAATTCACTTTTAGTCTTAAGATGATGCCTAAATATTTAAAGATACATCATAGTATGGAACTTAAAAAAATAGTAGAAATAGTAAAAGGATTCAAGTTTCAAGTAATAATTTACATGTTCTGTGCGAATCATAATGTTAGAAAAAAAAGAAAAAGTATATAATGAACCCAAAATTCTAGTCTTTTCTATAATTTAAAGACAGGATTTATTTTATTCATGGTATGAAAATTATCATTTTTTCACTTAATAAAATATTGATTTTTGTACCACTTGATGAAAATAGATCCTGTGTTTAAAGAAAAAACTGGAATATCCTCTATTAAATTAAAAACATATGCAATTTTTAAACATGAATTCAAAAGAGAAAAATATCTCGACACTATCAAAGAAAAATACTCAGAAATTGCTTTAGCTAAATTTAGAGTCTTAGCACACCAATTAGCCATAGAAACGGGAAGATACACTAACATACCCCTAAATGACTTTGTTAATCTTGTAACATGCAATCTATTGAAACTGAATACCACTTTTTACTAGTTTGTCCAAAATAGAGAACCCTTAGAAGTAAATATTTTAAAAGTTATTATTATCACTGGCGTAAAATGAAACAAACAAACAAACATATTTGGAGCTTTGTACCTTCTACTTATACTGAGCTTTGTACCCCCTCTTTTTGTATGGAGCTTTGTATCCTCTAATAATATGGAGGTTTGTACATTCTACATATTTGGAGCTTTGTACCCTCTACTTATACGGAGCTTTGTACCCTCTACTTATACAGAGCTTTGTACCCTCTACTTATACGGAGCTTTGTACCCTCTACTTATACGAAGCTTTGTACCCTCTACTTAATATATATGAAGCTTTGTACCCTCTACTTATACAGAGCTTTGTACCCTCTACTTATACGGAGCTTTGTACCCTCTACTTATACAGAGGTTTGTACCCTCTACTTATACAGAGCTTTGTACCCTCTACTTATACGGAGCTTTGTACCCTCTACTTAATATATATGAAGCTTTGTACCCTCTACTTATACAGAGCTTTGTACCCTCTACTATACGGAGCTTTGTACCCTTTACTTATACGGAGCTTTGTACCCTCTACTTATACGAAGCTTTGTACCCTCTACTTATACAGAGGTTTGTACCCTCTACTACTTATACAGAGCTTTGTACCCTTTACTTATACGGAGCTTTGTACCCTCTATTTATAAGGAGCTTTGTACCCTCTACTTATACGGAGCGCTGTACCCTCTACTGATACAGAGCTTTCTACCCTCTATATATATGAAGCTTTGACCCTCTACTTATACGGAGCTTTCTACCCTCTACTTATACGGAGCTTTCTACCCTCTATATATATGAAGCTTTGTACCCTTTACTAATATGGAATTTTGTACCCTTTACTTATACGGAGGTTTGTTCCCTCTATATATATGAAGCTTTGTACCCTCTATTTATATGAAGCTTTGTACCCTCTACTTATATGGAGCTTTCTACCCTCTACTTATACGAAGCTTTGTACCCTCTATATATATGAAGCTTTGTACCCTCTATTTATACAGAGGTTTGTATATTTTCAGGCAGACAAGTTATTGGAGGATTTTGAGCAACAGAGGGATCTAAGTCACACGATTGTTCACATAGACATGGATGCTTTCTACGCTGCAGTAGAGATGAGAGATGATCCAAGTTTGAAAAATAAACCAATGGCTGTTGGGGGTGACAACATGCTGGTAGGTTTCAAACATGGCAACATTTTTGTACGACAAAATGTCCTGTTTAACTTACTATTTAAGAACCTATTCATTACCTTAAACAGTGTTACATATTAAAAGCAAAAATATGCTTATTTATAGATCATGTGATATTCTTTTTTTTGGTCTTATGTAAAAGTACGCTGTAAATTAATGTATTTATTAAACATTATTTTGTTTCAGTCAACTTCAAATTATCATGCACGGAAGTTTGGTGTTCGAGCTGCCATGCCAGGGTTTATAGGCAGAAAACTGTGCCCCGAGCTTGTTATAGTGCCGTTAAACTTTGAGAAATACACGTCAGTCAGCAAACAAGTAAAATCTATCATCGCAGAATATGATGCAAACTTTTGTCCTATGTCTTTAGATGAAGCATATTTGGACCTGACCGAGCATTTAAAAAAACGACTATCTATGCCAGTAAAAGAAAGAACATTTATTTGCAGACATTCCGATTATGCAGATTCCAGGTCCCATTGTAAATGTGATTTGAATGAAATTAAAAGTGAATATGCCGAGGAAGATATTACGGTTGATAAATTAAATGAGTTTTTCACAAAATCTGAACATTTTCAAGTAGTTCAACAAGACACTGACTCAGCTAAAGCAACGAATATTGATAAGGAAGGGAAGTGTGTGGTGTGCCTTAAATGTAAGAAAGTGTTACCTCCCTTTAGACTTGTGACGTTTGGTATGAGTGATGAAGATACTGTTAACGAGTTGAGGACCAGAATTGAGCAGAAGACAACTCTTACAGCCAGCGCAGGTAAATTATGCTTTATAATGATAATAAATGAGACTAAAAAGTGTTGGATTAAAGTAAAACCCCACCAAAAATTAAAAGGAAAAAAGAAGACTAACTTATCAATAACTTTATACTTAGAACTTAACTTATCTATGTGAAAACTAAGAACTTATCTATGTGAACAACTCTCTTACACACCCTATTTAGAAAGAACATCACTGATGAAATGTCAAATCCCAAGCATTTTGGTATTGAAAAAAAAGCCTTCAGAAACGAGTGTTGTCCCAATATTATCTGACAAGATTGTTTAAAAGCTATCTAAAATAGATACGAATTTGATATTTTAATATGTTATAAACCCATATAATTGAAGCATTTTCACAAACATACATAGAAAAATATCAACAAACAACAAACATATGCCGTTAATACCATGGCAACTCTCCGAATCGCGGCGCACGTCAAAATTCAAAGACAGCGTTAAATTTATATAAGGCGCCTTTCTCAAATACTCTCAATTGCTTTCAACACAATAATGATGCAGCTTTACCCATAAATCGTCAATAACAGACTTATATCATTGGTTGTTAAAGTCTGTTGAATGTTTGGATGGCATACATTAATTTTTGCTACACACAAACAGCCGGCCAGGTTGCACCTGCTTTTAGCTTCAGGAAATAAGCGACGAAGATCGGTCTTCCTATTCATGCTTTCCTTATTTTCGTTTTTTGGAGTGTAGAACTCTGATTCCGTTCATGCCTTTTGTACACAAATGCTAAGGATATGTTTCTAAGCTGTTCCAATTTGTTTTTATTGTTGAAAATCGTAACATGTGTCATCTCGAAATAGTCACAAAACCTGAATGACCTGTTCACTGCGCCGCAAATTCTTCGAACGTCGCTATTTTCACTTTTCTTTTTTTATGAGATATTTTCATTTATCCGTAGGCTGTTCGTTTCTTACGTTATCCAACTAATTTTTTCTAAGATGATGTAAACGTAGCAGCAGAGGAAGCCAACTTGGCATTGTGCAGACACATCATCAGATATACGTTATTAATTTTAGCCTATTCTATCAAAATACAAATTATTTGACGTGTGCCGGTAACTCAATCCAATGTCGTTAATACTGAAAATGTCTAAGTAACTAGAGTAATTTTTTTGTAAATGATTTGTTATAATGTTAAATAATGACCTAAACAGTAATGTGTGTGAATTATTATCTACTAGTATTGGCGTTAAAAATGAACCATCTATAAAATTCGTCACGGACTTTTGGACAACCCTCGTATAAACTTAGAATTATTTGTTTATTCTCTGGATTTAACCTACCAGTTATTTTATCAATTGTCGTTAAGTCTAATTCTTTTGAATCAGATTCTTTACTTACATACAAGCTTATTTACTGTTTTTGCAAGTCGCACGTTTTACTATTTAAAGGGACTCCACTGAGGTTTTTTTACATGACGGGACTGAAAATAATTTTCCGCTATTTGTGTACAAATTGATTTAGGTCATATCCAATATGTTTATTTTGTGTTCAAATTTTCTGGTTATTTTTTCTCTCAAATTTGGCTAATAATAAAGAAGCATAAAAATCAATTTTCAATTTAATTCTGAATGTATTTCTTTGTTATCCTTTAGCAGATTTTTCCATTTTAAGTGTTTAACTTGATGTTTGTTAGATTTTCAAATTTTCTGATTTTATGCCTTTGGACCTCAGTGGAGTTCCTTTAACTACATTTTATACATGTATGTTAACATTGATGAAGTATGCAAAGTACAAATTTTGTTTTATTAAAAGTGGTAAAAATGTCTGTTTCAGGGATTGCACCGAACATGATGCTGGCAAAGGTTTGCTCGGATAAAAACAAACCAAATGGCCAGTACAAGATAGAACCTAATAGAGAAACTGTGATGGAGTTTATCAAAAATCTGCCGACCAGAAAGGTATGCTATATGTATATGATAAATGGTTCTTCAGGGTAGTGGTAAAGTTTTAATGTTTTAATTTACAAGACTTACCATTACTTTATCTTTGGTATTGGTAAAGCTTTAATTTTGTTAACTCGACTAATCGAAGAATAGGATGAGCTTTTGTACTCACCCAGGAGTCGGCGTCACACTTGTGTTATGTATGCAACATATTACATGTATATAGTTTGTATCTGACCAGTTGGTATTTCCAATATTATCATTGTTCTATTTTTAGAACATAAACTACATGTATGTACTAGAACGTTCTTAACTGTTGTAGAAAACTCATGCATTATATTTAGATAGAAATTTCTGGAATGATCTTTATTGGTGAAGTTGCTAGATTATGATTACTGTAGTAAATGGAAGACTATTCTAGAAACTTCTTAGTTAATATATATAAGGAGACATTTTTCATTACTCTTACCTTTTTAGTCATCAGTGATCTTTTAAGTCATCAATATATTTGGAGTATTATTCAACTTGGAAATTAAGTGATTTATTGGAGCTTGGATTATTAATTATTCTTGTGGATTTTATTGTGGGAATTTATTCTAAAGTGTTCTTGGATTTAACTTGGATTTAACTGTGCTATTGAAAAAGGATCATTCCAGGATCAGACTAGACATTTGTAATTTTTATTTGGACTTCAGGTATTTGTACACAAAATTTGTTATTTTGATTTTCTTTATTAATTTTTCTGTAATAAATTTGTTATTGTTACAAGTTTGTTGCTGGCTTTTCTTTCTCGTTACGCCTGGCTTGTAACACTTGATAAAGTTTTTTGTACAGTTATAATCTCTAAAACTACTAAAGGAATGAATAGGTTGAAACTTCACACACTTATTTGAGAGCATAAAAGATGGTCAGTGTCCAAAGCCCATAATTTTAACATGAATTTTGACAGAATACTGGCCCTTTTGGAACTTAGAAAATCCTTCATTATCCAGGCTCTTGCACTGTGAATAGTCAAGCACTCTGTTCTTCCGACAGCTCTTGTATTACAAGACTTCTCGATACTTTATCTTCAGGTCACAGGTATAGGTCTATAGGTCTATTTTTAATGTAACATTATATGACTTACTGATACTTTATCTTTAGGTCAGTGGTATTGGCAAAGTAAGTGAGGCCATGTTAAATGCAGTTGGAGTGTATACGTGTACTGACCTGTACGAGAAACGAGGGTTATTATATCATCTCTACTCACAGATATCTTTCAACTATTTTATGAGAATATGTCTTGGTATCGGATCAACTACTGTTGAGAGGTATGTAAAAGGTACATTTAGTCTCAAAATGCTAATATTTTTGTGTCGTCTGCTACAGAGTGCTAAGTGGTGAATTATAGGGGTCACTAGTCCATCCTTTGTCGGCACTAGGGGGCCATTTGACTTTATTGAACAAGACTACAATAGAGTTAATTCCAAAACAATAGAGTAAGAGGCCATTGGCCCTCTATTAAACAAAAGAAAATAAAAATAGAAACTACCCTTTATCCAATTCTGTTGCACGTCCATTTGTCACAATTTTGTCCGGACTGCTCTTTAAAAATTAATGGTGCAATTTTTACCAAACTTTCCAAACTGTACAGGAATAATAAACTCATTTGTAATTGTATATTTTTATTTTCAGGGACAGTGAAAGGAAAAGCATGAGTACAGAACGGTAAGAACAAATATATAGTACAGTATGATAAAACTTGTAAAGGAGTAAGAAATTTGGCTCGCTTAGAGGAAAAACAATTGTAAAAGTTACATTAAGATATTTGATAGTAAAATGTTCAGATGGCAATAGGAAAAGGTTTCTGAAAAAAAAAAACAACAACAATGCTTTAATAAATCTTTTGATAGCTCCTTAAAATTTGGTATTTTTTTCGTTTCCCATTTCTTTAGATTAAGTGGGACATCCTTGGCCAAGCTGTTAAGGTAACTGACATCAAAACACCTACCCCTCACCACTCTGTACTTGAAACTTAAAATTCTGTCATGTGAGAAAGTTATTCAATTACTTTATAGAAGATGGTCCTTTGTTGGACCCATAATAGGGAACGCAGCTTCCCATACATAGTTTATTCATTCTTTTATACAAATTAGACATATTAAGTAAGAATTTTATATACATAAATAAATTTCTGTGATTGAAATATTTTACTCAAGGATGAGCATAGTATATCTTTAAGAGTTTCAGATCAACTTTGGACATTATCACATTTGTGGAAAATGTAAAGAATAGTCAGAAATACGACTGTGCAAAACAGAATTGTTATGATGGCCTCAAATTAGATCAAAATCAAAATGTTAGTGAGAAGATAAGATTTCTTGTGAGGCGCTGTGTGTTGTTTCCCTTCCGATATGTACCAAAAAATATTTTGTTCTCATTTTTCTGAGCATTCTTGTTGATTCAGCACCCTTTAAAATAAAAGTTTAAATTCTGTCAAACTTACTGTAGATACATTGTAAATTTTGGAGAAATATTAAAGAGGAGGAATATTACATTATATATTTTGTATTTCAGAACATTTTCAGAGATAAACAGGCCAGCTGATTTGAATCAGAAATGTGAGGAACTGTGCGAGAGTCTATCTGAAGATCTCAAATCTGAACGATTAAAGGTTGATGTCTTATGTTTTAAGCTTGTCTTTTATAAAATATTTCTATATGTGACAGCTACCTAGCTAGCTTACACAACGTCAGTGGTTCTACTCAGGTGCCAGTATGTGCCTGAAAATTGAAAGTTGACTTTTTGTGTGCGTCTTTGCCCCATAGGCACACTATTCACGATATGTAACAAATGGTACACAAATCTTGAAAAAAATATTTCCTAACCCATCATGCCAAAAAACTTCAGTGCAGTCCCTTTAATTACATTGCAATCAATAATCTTGAAACCAGTATACACTATAACAGTGTAACTTTTTGTATCAATCTTACACAGGGTAAAACAGTGTCAATCAAGATAAAGACAGTGAAGTTTGAAGTACGGACTCGTGCACACACAGTTCGAGACTACACCAATGACTATAAAGATATATTATACTCAGCCATCGAACTATTGAAAACTGAGATCCAGAACTGCTCTCCACAACCTTTGAGGCTAAGGCTTATGGGTAAGTCTTGTTTGATTAGCAGGGGTCAAGTTTATTTAGTAGTCACTTAGCTCAATATAGAGAGCATAGGATGTGTAATCTAGGGGTGAACGGTTGAATTTTTTGTGAGGCGAAATTTCTCTCCGACAATCTATCTTGGACATTGAGCCTAATGGTCATTTGTCTCTCACTGCTTATTCTGATATCATGTTGGAATAGTAATTTCAACATTCTTTATCCGGAAAGAGAGAAGTGTTGAAATTCTCATGATTAATTTATCCTATGTAATAAATGTGAAGAATGTATCTTGATGGGAATTCATATGCTACTGAATTGGCCATTTTAAATTTAAATTATTTTTGATATATGAACACCAAGATTCTTTCTTCATTGGAATTTAATGTGGCCATTATAAACTCAATATCTGTCAATTTTTCAAGGTGTCAGGATGTCAAATTTACTGCATGAGAGTTTGTGTCGAGGGAAGAAGCAGAACACTATCATTGGAGCTTTCAAACGGCTTTCAAAACCTGCTGAAAAACTGGATACAAATGACGGCAAATTTAGTGTAAAAGATATTGGTGTTGTTAAAGCACCAGATCTTGCTATTGATGGATTACAGTCCGTAAGTTCAATAGATACACTTTCGGATAATACTGATGTTAATAGGGAGACAAAGGAAAAGTTACATTTGAGTCATACAAATAATATGTTTGGAACTTTTTCCGATAAAATGAATGATAATGAAAGAAATACAGATGTTGACAAAGCAAAGAGCAGTTTTATGAGTGGTATGGAAGATTATAATGAAACTAATCAGCTTGCAAAAGCTAGTGGAAATTTTAATGTTGGTGTTGTAAATGATACTAAAAGTGTAGATGAATCAAAGGAACCGATTGAAAATGCTTCTGAGAAAAATGTCCATGTTGGTATTGTAAATGATAGTAATGGTGTTGAAGATGTGGTTGAATATGTCTCTAAGGAGACCAAAGCTTTAACTGAAGAACCTGTCTCAGTAAATACAGATACAAGTGAACAATATAGTGATTATAGAGGTGATCTGGAGAAAGATTTACAAGATGGTCCTGACTTGTGTAAAGTACTAAAAGAAAAAAATGTGATGTCAGAAAATGGTGCATCTCAGGAAGAAGGTACTTCAAATCTTTATTCACCAAATGTTAGAAAAACTAGAAGTGGTGTCAAAAGGACGCCAGTTTCACAAACTAAACAAAAGAAAAGAAAAGGAAGGAGAGGGAAAGATACAGCGGTTACCTATGAATGTCCAGTATGTTCACTTAAAATTCTATGTGAAAGTTTAAACATCTTCAATGAACATGTTGATAATTGTCTTGAGAGTGATGTAAGTAGAAAACAAGATATTGATGATGACAAAACTGTGATAAAAGGTGAATCTTATGAATTAAAAAATGGTGATGACAGAATTGAAAGTGGTGTAAATAGAACTAAAAGTGTTGGTGAAGACAAAACTGTGATAAAACAATCTGATGAACCAAAAAGTGAAGATGAAACAATGGCAAGATCTAATAGAAACAAAGTCAATGCAGATATATGTGAAATTATCAAATTTGATAAATCAACTGGTTTACCAGAAAAAGAAGTTGAAGCTGATAAAACTGAAACAGAAGAAAAACATATCAGTTCTTTAGAGGAAGCAGAGACTGAAAGAGAAGTTACAGACTTGCCAGTACAAAAAGGAGATATTGAAACTGTCATCAAATGCAAGGATGACGTTACATCAACTACTGAAAATCATGAAAATATTGATAGTTTTACTAATACCAGACATGTAGATACAATTACAGTTGATGAACAAGTTCAGCAATTTAGTCTCAAAGACAAAGAAATGAATGTAATTGATTGTTCAAGTGGACTTTTAAGGTCAGTTGTTGTTAATCCTGTAGGTGAATTAAATAAAGAATGTAAAACGTATGATGTTAAAAGTGAAAGAGTCAGTGTTAATAAAGAAGCTGCTTCAGAACACATAAATGAAAGTGAAACGGTTACTGAAAGAACTCGTATAACAAATACTAGCATGAAAACCAAATCAGAAAGTGAACACAGAGATTATGAAAATAATGTAACAGTGAATGATAAATTATCAGGAGGTGAAGAAATTGGAACATATAATAAAAGTACTCATATTTATAGAACTGAAGAAAATGAGTTTGATTTCACAAAAAATATACAGACTAAAAGTTCTGAAACAAATGAAATGAAAAGTATAGATGACCAAAAAATGGTAGATTTAGAATCAACACATGCAATTCCTATAAGTCCTAAAGTGATAGTAAACAATAGTAAGGAACAATGTTTTGAACCAGAAAGGGTTTGTGCTGGTACAAGTCAGCAGTCAGATGAAAGATATGAGATGGCTAGGTCAGATGCTTGGGTCAGGAAAAATCTGCTACAAGTGTCTGATGAAATCGAAGAGCTAAATGAAAACAGTACCATGGATGATTCAGGTAAGATTTATAAAAACTCACCTGAGCAGTAAATGTGCATGAAGTGCTCATGGTGAGCTAATGTAGGAGTGGTTGTGCTGTGTAATTCATGCGTGTCATGCATCCTTAACAATTGGTTTTAAACAACATCTTATAAAGCTTCAAGGCCAATGTTGCTTTAACTGGATGGGAATTTTCCTTGCATGAAGCTCTTCCAAAGTTGTTTCAAAGAATTTAATATTCCATGCCGAATGCTGGGTGCCATGGCTACTGAAAGAAAAAATGTTTCTTAAATCCAGCATGGAAGGGCTTGAGCTTAAATATTTGGTACAAAAAATTGCCTATATAAGGTACAAACAAAGTTTTATCCCTACTGCTGAGCTTTTGAGTGCACAACAATAGAGTGGTATATAAACATTTTGTGCTTTATATTGAATAACAATTGTTACGCTTAATATTGATAAACATGTTTTGCTTAATCAGGGCTGGGAATCAAAACTGCGTCGTATCCTACAAAATGTAAATAAACGCCGCCATCTTGAACGAAAAACGTATGTTTTTGATTACAACTATTTTTGTTGGAAATGACTGAAAAACAGATATATGTATTAACACGCTACACTATTTTCCGCTTCGTTCGGTATATGTTGCTTGCACAACTATTTTGTAAAACATATGTTATAGCGAACTTGCAACTCGAAGCGGAGCAGAATTTTTATGAATATGTGTGGATACGACGCAGTTCATATTGCTTTATCTATCGTTTTTTCCTTCAAATCAATTGTATACTCGTTTCAGAGTTCACCATAAACTTCAAAATATGATTTTGCACCATTCACTAAAATTTCATTAAACAGAGATGTTTATTTTCCAAGAAAATAATGATTTTTACGAAATGATACGACGCAGTTGAAAATAAACTATGATACAACGCAGTTGTATTTTCATTGCAGCCTGCATATTAAATTATAATAACGTCCAACAACATTTCTTGTTTACAACTTAAGTCAAAAGCAGAGGTCACTCATTGGTTCCACGAAAATGGAAAATGCAATAAAAATTCTATTAAGGCTTCATTTTTCGGTCGCATTTTTAGTTCCTGTCATAAGCATCTACAAATTCCGAAAAGCTGTACCAAATGCAATATACATTGAAGCACGTGATCGCACACCCATATGACAACGTGTTCTAGTGTTGCCATAGCATGCTTATAAACTTGTTCCCGTGAGTTCGAAATTGGGGTGGTTACTTTTTTCATTTACAGAATTTTGATACAAAATTCAACATTCCAGGGTAACCTCTCCTGGACCCTGTATCAATCAGGAATGACCTTTGTTTGTTTGTGTTTTTTTTGAAATAGAAAAATAAAGAATTACAAATTTTGTAAAGGCCTCTTGCTATCTGAAGAGAAGTATGCACAAATTGCATGCCTACCTTTGTTACTTATAATTAGCAAAAATGTCCGTCAATTCCGTTATTATGTCTTTTACGTGCCGAATTTATTGTATTCTGTGAGAACAGATGAGCTTTATTATTTGAAACTGAACATTTAATTTTTAAAATTATATTATAAATGGTTAAGCTACGATATATTTTTACAAATAGGGTATGCGTTTCGTTCAGTCATTTTATGTTCAGCGCCGCGGAACTTTACAGCCGATTTTGTCATATTGCATTTCTTTATCGCCGATGAGAACAGGTCTACGAAATGTGTTTTCTATTTTTTGCACTAAAGTATTATTCTTCTCAGTAAAAAAATTCAAATTTTCAAAATCGAGTTACAAATGATAAAACTACAAATTATTTTGTTAAGAAGGTGTCCGTTTTGCAAAGGTATTTTTAGCTTTGCACACAGATATGTACGACAGGATGTTTCAATAGTATTGAAGAAGTTTTCAATATATTGAAGAGAAAATTTAGGTCAGATTATCGCATCGAATTTTTCACAGACTAGAGACATGCCATCTAAACATACCTTCAAACTTAAGTGTGATTTTTATTTGAAAATGAATTGCCTGAAAAATTAAACAAACTTTTTCAGAAAATGACTTCAAAGAGGATTACCCCCTGTTTACATTGAAAATTTCTCTTCTATTTGCACCGACATATCAAAGTAAAAATAATCTTAGAGATTAAGGAAATATTTCATTTCAATAAGAAAGTTAAATGTTATTGTCTTTATAATTAATTCAAATATTTATAATCTTAAAATTACACGCCCGAAGTTAATAAAAAAACACACTAAAACTGCTTATTTGTACAGCTGACGTTAACAAATTGTTGAAAAAAATCAGACAGGTGTTCGACCGAAGCAGAGCTGTTTATGTTTACTGAATTCAAATCACTTGAACTGAACTGCTATGAATTCAAAAACCACCAGGGACTTTTGATTCTTTCGTGTGGAAACCTATCAAGCTAGTTTCAAAATGTCGATGGTTCTCTGCAGGTGCAACATTTTGCCTGAAATAATACACAAAGGCGCACCTAAGGTCTTCGCCCCCAGTAAAGCTAATGTGTAGAGTGAAAGTTTGACAACAAACCTAAAAAAAACAGTCATTACCCAAAACATGCAGATCCACAGTTTACTTAGAGTGTAGCAAGCAAAAATAAATTCAGGTTCATAGACTTTATTATTTTTTGCCAAAAAATAGGGATAATATTGAACATACAGGAAAATATAAGAAATTATTTAAAAAAATTATGATAAATTAAGTAGCATGTTCATGTTTAACTGTAAAGTAGCTTCCGCAATGTAAACTTTCGAATTTAATGTTATATTGAACATGACAAAATGTATTCTAAATAATCAAAAGCAACAGAATATCGCTATACACCGCAAATAATCTGGGTTTTTTATCTAGCGCAAGTGATTATTCCATAAAATATACATATATTGCCAAAATTATCCCTGTTGAAAAGACTGCCAAAAAAATACAACTGCGTCTTATCATATTTTATTTTCAACTGCGTCGTATCATTTCGTAAAAATCATTATTTTCTTAGAAAATAAACATCTCTTTTTAATGAAATTTTAGAAAATGATGCAAAATTATATTTCGAAGTTAATGGTAAACTCTGAAACGAGTATTAAATTTATTTGAAGGAAAAAATGATAGATAAAGCAATATGAAGTGCGTCGTATCCACACGTTTTCATAAAAATTCTGCTCCGCTTCGAGTTGCAAGTTCGCTATAACTTTTGTTTTACAAAATAGTTGTGCAAGCAACATATACCGAACGAAGCGGAAAATAGTGTAGCGTGTTAATACATATATCTGTTTTTCAGTCATTTCCAACAAAAAGAGTTATAGACAAAAACATACGTTTTTCGTTCCAAGATGGCGGCGTTTGTTTACATTTTGTAGGATACAACGCAGTTTTGATTCCCAGCCCTGTTAATATCGATATATATTTTTACCAAGTTTACCATTAATGTTAAGCTTTGAATGACCCACATTTACTGAGTCAGGATTATGTCTATGAGGTTTTTGTTAAATCTTTTATCTGTTGATTTTTCCATAATTAATAATACTTAGTTGATTATTGTACAATATATAGAGGATATTGAATAAGTGTAGGTGCAATACTGAATTAATTGAACAAGTTGAATGAAATTATATTACACAAGCCTCTGGTGCATCTTTACACTATGTTTATATAACTCAGATAACATCATGTTAAAAAATATGCACGGTTGTGCAATGCCATTTTTACTGAGTCACATAATCGGCATGGGTATGTGATAAATCCATTTAAGCAAAAATCAATAACTTTAAACTCTTGAATGTGTATTTTAGATGATGACGAGGAAAAAGAGGGGTCATTACTGGTTTGTCCTATATGTAACATAGAACAGAGATCAGCTGACTTGACTGAGTTTAACAGTCATGTAGACATGTGCCTTAGTCGCAGAGCTATATCAGAAATACTTAAGGAGCAGAAAAGTAAAGATAGTGGATCCTTGAAAAGGTAAATCACAGTTATTTGAATTTTTAACCTGCTGGAACCAGTATTGATTGGTTTTTGCCTCCACCAGAGAATCAGGCCAGTCTGCAGTGACCAAGCTTTATACTGTTAGAAGCTCAAATTTTTTGTATTTTGATATTATAAACTCTTAAACTTTAAATTGACCGTTCCATATTCAATTTAAGGTATCCACGACATAACTTTAGCAGGTATATATTTAATGAAAATATCAAAGTACAGTACTTAATATAAGCCGACCTACACATACCTTAAAAGGAAGAGCATCGGTTTTTAACCAAGGATTGCTGGTTCATACTCCAGGCAAGCATGACAATTTATCTCAGACATTAACTCTAACAGTCTAGCACAGCTGATTTTAAAAAATCACAGCTGCTTTAAAAATCATGTCGGATTAGCACCTGGTCACTTGTGGATCAATTTGTAATTACTGGTTAGGTATCAAGGGAAGCCTGAGTAAGGTAGATCGACTGCTGAGATACGACTGAAATATGTGAAAAGTCAAACAAGCAAAACTTAGTAAATATAGACATCTTTGTATTTATTTACTTCTTTTAGCATTTTTTTCTGCTGTTGTTTTTTTATCAACAATTTCTGTACTGAATCATAATACATGTCTGCTTTTTTTTCCTACAAATATCTTTATTATTTTCAGGAACAGGGCTGCTGAAACACCAGGGTCAGCAAAATCAGCAAAGCGACGTAAAACAGCAATGCCAAATATTTCCAAACCATGCAGGAGTATTGCTTCTTTCTTCCAAGAAAAATAGCCATTCACCTGCATAGAGGATCAGATTTGCTTTCCAGGAATCGCAGTTTCGATTTTCAAGCGAGGCGAAATTTCTGTGTGACAATTGGTCTCTGACATTGAGTCTTTTAAATAGACATTTGTCTCTTACTTCTCACTATGAAATGTTGCGGAGAAGTTTATATTTAATGGTTGTTTTTGGACAAAAGTTGATAAGGTGGACCGGTTTCGGTGATATGACCAAAAATGTGTTCAAGTTGATGTTATAAGCAACATAAACAAGAAAATTGTTAATTCTCATTGTATACATGTAAGAGAATGTTATCATAGGAAGGTTAAGTGTGTGTTTTAAGAAAAATGCTAGATCAGCAGTAAATATTGACTCTTAGATGTTTACATGATTTAAAACTGGGACATGATATAATAGGACAAGCAACTAGGTAAGTGGTCTTTTATTGGTATACAATTGTTAGCTGATTGATGGAAAAGCGAAGTTATAAAATTGTAAATCAATGCTATTACTATGCCAAATTACTGTGAATTCACTTAATTTTGTGGGCATGAAATTTTGTGGTTTTGTCATAAAAAAAACAAAAAACATTTTCGTGGGACTGTTTATTTTTCTAAAAGGTAAAATGTAAATAATGTGATGCAAAATAATCTTACAGCAGGTGAAATGAAATTTCGTTCAATCTTAAGTTTGTGGATGGACCTATCCACAAAAACCACTAAAATTAGTTCCTCATGAATAATAATGATTTTGCAGTACATTGATAAATTTAATGCCTTGTGTAAATTTATACAGTATTCTTTTAGAAAGTTACTGTCTTTTCTATTGAAATATTTTCTAGCAAAGGGACACAACTTATGCAGATACATTTGAAAACTTTAATTGCCCTTCTTCCCTTAGCACTGAACATAAATGCCTTTTAGAAAATTTTGGCAAATATGAAATTGCAAAGGCTTTAAAGCAGTATGTACAGATTTATACCAATTTTCTAAAATTTCTTAAGTTTTAAAATGGCTTTCTTTGTAGAAATAGTTTCTACTTTAAGGTTATTTCGATTGATCTAAATTTATTGTTTATTTAAACTTGTAGATTAACATTTTAGTTATTGGCAAGGCAATTAAATGCAATATACCAATGCTAATTTAGTAAATGTGTTGATATGGCTGAATGGTTAATGGGTAAGACTAGTAATTTAAGACTTGCTGACTATGTAGATTCAAACCCTGTCAAACGAAAAAACGGTTATATCTGTGGCATTTGACTTCAAACAACTTGCCACTCACCATGTCAGTGAAGTACAGCTATCTTATACATATGGAGTGTCCGTGACAGAGTGGTTAAGGTTGTTAACTTCAAATCACTTGCCCCTCACCGTTGTGGGTTGAATCCCGACAGGGCCTTTGATTCTTTCATGTAAGGAAGCTATCCAGCTAGCTCATGGAATGTTGGTGGTTCTATTCAGGTGTCTGTTCATGCCTCCACCAGTAAAGCTGTGCCGGTGTGATGTGAAACCCAGTTAAACAGACAAAAAATCTGTGCTTCTATCAGGTACGTTGCCATATTACCTGTGTAGTGTTTGTGTTATTCAACCCCCCTCCACTCTCTCAAGAAAATATGAAATAAGATAATTAATAGAACTTGCAATATAGAGTTTATGTTTACTTTCAATCATTGATTAAAATATTGATTTTGATGTTTTTATATTATTTTGTATAAGAACTTGTTGTTTTGTTGTATTGAAATGTACATTAAATATTTAGAATATGTGTACATTTTAGAAATGAAGACATGTAGTGAAATATTAGAAAAATATTTTAATTATTATTTTTACTGTTATAAGATTTATACCATTAAATTCATTTATCATTCACTTTTGTTATGTTATTGTTTTTTTCCACAAATGTTGCCAGTTTCATTTTCACTATTAAGTTATGTTAGTAAAGTTATATTTATTAATTAACAAGTGTTGTCAGATTCATTCTATTTATTTTCTGTGTTGTCACTTGAATTTTGTTGTGTTCCATATTCATTATTTTAAAAAATCTTGTTAGTTCCAATTCAAGTATTAAAAAGTGCTGCCTGTTCCATTTTGATTATCATTTAACAAGTGTGTCAGTTCTATTTTGATTCTCATTTAACAAGTGTTGTCAGTTCTATTTTGTTTATTAGAAAGGTGTTGTCAGTTCTATTTATTTTATAATGTCACAAGTGTTGTCAGTTCTATTTTGATTATCAATTAACAAGTGTTGTCAGTTCTATTTTGATTATCATTTAATAAGTGTTGTCAGTTCTATTTTGATTATCATTTAATAAGTGTTGTCAGTTCTATTTTGATTCTCATTATACAAGTGTTGTCAGTTCTATTTTGATTATTAGAAAGGTGTTGCCAGTTCTATTTTGGTTATCATTTAACAAGTGTTGTCAGTTCTATTTTGAATATCATTTAACAAGTGTTGTCAGTTCTTTTTTAATTATCATTGAACAATTGTTGTCAGTTCTATTTTGATTATAAGAAAGGTGTTGTCAGTTCTATTTTGTTTATTATTTAACAAGTGTTGTCAGTTTCTTTTGATTATCATTTAACAAGTTTTGTCAGTTCTATTTTGATTATGAACATGTGCTGCCAGTTCCATTTTGATTTTTTAAGTGTTGCCAGTTCCAATTTGATTATTTAAAAGTGTTGCCAAAGCCGCCTCCATGGTCGAGGGGTTGGAGTCGATGACTTCTAATCCAGTTACCTCTCTGGCATGGGTTGGATCCCCGGGAGATGCTTTGGTTTGTTGAGCGCGGAGGAAGGTAGTCTAGTACTGGTGTAACTCTCCAGGAACAATGGTTAGGAAACTATCCGCCTATATGACTGAAATACTGTTGGAAAAAGGCGTAAAATCAAACAAACAAACAAACAAATAAACAAGTTCCATTTTGAATATTAAAAAGTGTTGTCAGTTCTATTTTGATTATCATTTAACAAGTGTTGTCAGTTCCATTTTGATTATGAACAAGTGTTGCCAGTTCAAGGCTGATTATGACAGTTTATAAATAAAAGTTCTCTGTTGAGTTATATTTATTTACAAGTGTTTCCAGTTGTAGTATGTTTTTGCAGGAATTTTCATATGTTCCCTGTTGATTAACAAGTGTTATTAATTGAGTTATGTTTATTTGCTAGAGTTTTAATTGGTATTTTTTTTTTATTAAAAAATCTGTTTTCAGTTGTGTTCTATTTACTAATAAGTGTTCTCTGTTTATTTATAGGCGTTTTCAGTCCTGTTTATTGTTAGGAGTTTTCAGTTATTTTCTATTTATCAACAAGTGTTCTTATTTGTGTTCTATTTTATTTACATGTGTTTTCAGTTATATGTTGTATATTTACAAGCTGCATTTAGTTTCATTCTGTGCATTTACAAGTTTTTTTTTCAGTTTTGATCTGTTTCTTTCGATTGTAGTCAGCTATATTCATTGTTGTTGTTTCTTTTGTTTTTTCTTTAACTTTTGACATTTGTATGTTAAATATTTTCAAGTTTTCTTAGCTGTGCAGCAAATGATTATTTAAAATATTCTCTTTGTTGACCAGTCACTGAACAACTTTAATTAGTAGTACTTTGTTAAGTGTTGTAAGTATTTACAAGTATAGTCAAATGTGTTTAACTTAGAAGTGCTGTCAGCTGTGTTCTCAGTTATGTTATTTTCACTACTTACATGTGTTGACAGTTGTGTTCTCATTTATATTTTTTACACTATTTACAAGTGTTGAGAGTTGTGTTCTCATTTATATTATTAGTATTATTTACAAGTGTTGGCAGTTGTGTTCTCATTTATATTATTTACACTGTTTACAAGTGTTGGCAGTTGTGTTCTCATATATATTTTTTACAGTATTACAAGTGTTCTCATTTATATTATTTACACTATTTACAAGTGTTGACAGTTGTATTCTCATTCATACTATTTACACTATTAACAAGTGTTGGCAGTTGTGTTTTCATTTATATTATTTACACTATTACAAGTAATCTCATTTATATTATTTACACTATTAACAAGTGTTTTCAGTTGTATTCTCATTAATATTATTTCTACACTATCTTACAAGTGTTGGCAGTTGTGTTTTTATAAGTTATTTTCACAGTGGTGTATTTAATTTGCAAGTGTTGGCAGTTTGGTGTTCTTCTATTTAGTGTTTTTTTTGTACTACCTTTTACAAGTTGGCAGTTGTGAGTTTGTATTATATTATTTTACACTAAATTTACAAGTTTGGGCGCAGTTGTGTTATCATTTAATTATTAAACACTATTTAAACTAGTGTTGGCAGTTTGTGTCCTCATTTTTATTATATTTACACTATTTACAAGTGTTCGGCAGTTGTTGACCCCACCTCATTTATATATTTTACACTATTTACAAGTGTTGGCAGTTTGTGTTCTCATTTATATCTTATACACCATTTACAAGTGTTGGCAGTTGTGTTGTCAGTTATATATTTCACTCTATATGCAAGTGTTGGTAGTTGTGTTCTCATTTATATTTTTTACATTATTTGCAAGTGTTGCCAGTTTTGTTCTCATTGATATTTTTTATACTATTTACAAGTGTTGGCAGTTCTGTTCTTAGTTATATATTTTACACTATTTGCAAGTGTTGGCAGATGTGTTCTCATTTATGTTTTTCACATTATTTGCAACTGTGGCAGTTGTGTTCTCATTAATATTTTTTACATTATTTGCAAGTATTGGCAGTTGTGTTCTCATTTATATTTTTTACACTGTTTAAAAGAGTTGTGTTCTCATTTATATGTTTTACATTATTTACAAGTGTTGGCAGTTGTGTTCTTAGTTATATATTTTACTCTATTTACAAGTGTTGTCAGTTGTGTTCTCATTATATTATTTACACTTTTTACAAGTGTTGGCAGTTTTGTTCTCAGTTATATATTTTCACTATTTACAAGTGTTGTCAGTTGTGTTCTCACTGATATATTTTACTCTATTTACAAGTGTTTGCTGTTGTGTTCTCATTGATATTTTTACACCTTTTACAAGTGTTGGCAGTTTTGTTCTCATTTATATTGTTTACACTTTTTCCAATTGTTGGCAGTTGTGTTCTCACTTATTTTATTTACACTATTTACAAGTGTTGGCAGTTGTGATCTCATTAATATTATTTACACTTTTTTAAAGCTGTTGGCATTTGTGTTCTCAGTTATATATTTTACTCTATTTAAAAGTGTTTGCAGTTGTGTTCTCAACTATATTATTTACACTATTTACAAGTGTTGACTGTTGTGTTCTCATTGATATTTTTTACATTGTTTGCAAGTGTTGGCAGTTGTGCTCTCATTTATATTTTTTACACTTTTTACAAGTGTTGGCAGTTGTGTTCTCATTAATATTTTTTGCACTGTTTACAAGTGTTGGCTGTTGTGTTCTTAATTATATTATTTACACTATTTACAAGTGTTGGCAGTTGTGTTCTCATTTATATTTTTACACTATTTACAAGTGTTGACAGTTTGTTTTTATTTATATATTTTACACTATTGACAAGTGTTGGCAGTTGTGTTCCCACTTTTATTATTTACAAGTGTTGGCAGTTGTGTTCTCAGTTTTATATTTTACTCTATTTACAAGTGTTGGCAATTGTGTTCTCATTTATATTTTTTACATTATTTGCAAGTATTGGCAGTTGTGTTCTCATTAATATTTTTTACACTGTTTACAAGTGTTGGCAGTTGTGTTCTCATTATATTATTTACACTATTTACAAGTGTTGGCAGTTGTGTTCTCATTTATATTTTTTACACTATTTACAAGTGTTGGCAGTTGTGTTCTCATTTATATCTTTTACATTATTTTCAAGTGTTGGCAGTTGTGTTCACATTGATATTTTTACACTATTTACAAGTGTTGACAGTTTGTTTTTAGTTATATATTTTACACTATTTACAAGTGTTGGCAGTTGTGTTCTCATTTATAGTTTTTACAATATTTGCAAGTGTTGGCGGATGTGTTCTCCTTTATATTTTTTACATTATTTTCAAGTATTGGCAGCAGTGTTCTCATTTATATTTTTACACTATTTATAAGTGTTGGCAGTTGTGTTCTTAGTTACATATTTTACTCTTTTTACAAGTGTTAGCAGTTGTTTTCTCAATTTTATTATTTAGACTATTTACAAGTGTTGGTTTTCTCAATTTTATTATTTAGACTATTTACAAGTGTTGGCAGTTGTGTTCTCAGTTATATTTGTTACACTTTTTACAAGTGTTGGCAGTTGTGTTCCCACTTTTATTATTAACAAGTGTTGGCAGTTGTGTTCTCAATTTTATGTTTTACTCTATTTACAAGTGTTAGCAATTGTGTTCTCATTGATATTTTTTACATTATTTGCAAGTATTGGCAGTTGTGTTCTCATTTATATTTTTTACACTGTTTATTAGTGTTGGCAGGTGTGTTCTCATTTATATTTTTACATTTTTTACATCATTTTCAAGTGTTGGCAGTTGTGTTCTCATTTATGTTACTTACACTATCTACAAATGGTGGCAGTTGTGTTCATTATATTATTTTCACTTTTTACAAGTGTTGGCAGTTGTGTTCTCATTTATATTATTTACACTATTTACAAGTGTTGGCAGTTGTTTTCATTATATTATTTTTACTATTTACAAGTGTTGGCAGTTGTGTTCTCATTAATATGTGTAACACTTTTTAAAAGTGTTGGCAGTTGTGTTGATAGTTATATGATTATTTTACTCTATTTGCAAGTGTTGTCAGTTGTGTTCTCATTGATATTTTTTACACTATTTACTTTTAGATACTTTTTACATTATTTGCAAGTGTTAGCAGATTGTTTGTTTTGTTTGTTTGTTTCATT